TTGTATACTCCTAATTAATAATTGGATTTATAAGTAGTTGAATCATGTATCTTCAATTTTTTTTGCATTTGAGTGAAATTCAACCATTTGTTAGATTAGGTGTTAACTAGACTTTCTTGTTTTCATGTATTTAAATTTATTATTTAAAATGCTCTTAAATCACTCATGTTTAGTTAGGCTAGTTTTTCAAAGTATCAGGCGATGATTGTGACGAATAAAAAACATTATTACCTTTGCTTAAAGTTTTCAAGTAAAATTTTCTAACACAGGGAAAAGGTTTCGACCAAAAAATGATGCGACAACGCGTTACCAAGAAGTATTTCTTTTCAGGAGAGCAAGGAGCAATAAATTTAGGAATACTAAAATGGCTTAAATTGCAAGTGAGTGGCTCTAATATTAACCAAAAGAGTTTTGCTTGAGAAAATTTTTGAATGAATAGATTAATAGTTAGATTATTTAGGTGGCATTTTGTGTTTGAAGCTGAGAACAAAATCTACCAGTAATCAATGAAGCCCAACAAATATCTCTCCGTGTTTGCTGATACCAATGAGATTTGAACAGATGCTAAATTAATTGCTAGGTTTAAAAAAAAAATCAAGTCCTGAATGCCTAAATATATATCTGATTGTACTACTTCTGCTATTAACAATGCTTATGGGATCAAATTTCACTCTTGCATTGTAAATATTTTGTTGAAATGCGTCATTATGCACAGTTCTATTCTAAGCTTACCTTATAAATATGGAGTAGGTGATATTCTGATATTTCAAATGAGCATAATTCTGACATATCATCTCACACTATTAAAATAGTATGTCGTCAGTATTTTTAAGTAAAGTATCAAACACTATACTATATTATGAATCATCAGATGAACTTATTTAAAATTGCAATTACAAATGGTATAATGCCATTTATATATTAAGCATTTTTACTATTCCTTGTTTCAATTGTTTTATAGAGTCACTTGATCCTTTTTGAGCTAATTGATTTCTGTTTATGTATTCTATTAGATGCCGCAGTCTCAATCTCTTTGAAAACTCTCAGTCTTAACAAGAAGTTTATTAGTCTTTTCTTTTGTTTCATTTATAAAAATCTTCAAATTTCCATTCATTCCTTAAAACTTAAAATTATCCTACCTATATTCCGTACCCAGCATGATTCTCCAGTTTTAGCTGGTATTATTCCATTTTGTAGGCTTCTCAGAGAGAGTCCACCTCGTCCTATATGAAGTTGATGATACAAATATTATGGTTCCACCTCGCTAGGAAACATGCTCCTAGGGACTTTGGCTCTTAGTTAAATTTAATGAAGGAGAAAATGCCAGATTTAAATAGAAAAAATCCCAGTTTTTATGTTCATAAGGACCATTCTATTGTCTAGTATTTTTTGATTCACAACATTCATATATTAAACAATGATCACTAAAGGAAGTTTCTTACAACTACCAAAGAACTATCTAATTCCATAGGTCCTTATTCTCTTCATATAGTTCAAATTTATTATAGACCATCTTCCTTTAACAGGCCATTTATCTTGATTGTCTTATTAAAGGAGTAAAATTTAGATTCTAATAAAAACTACCCCAAAGCTCAACAAACTAAAGTTGCTTTGTAAATTGTTTACTTTTCTGGCTGGCCTATAAATCTAAGATGTGTATTTTCCAATTTACATCTCTCCATTTTAGAAAGTCTTAACACTAAAAAAAAGAACCTAAGTCAGTTTATTTTCAGAGTAACCATCATCAACTTTTAACTGCTCACAATCTTATTCATATTGCAAAACAGGTTACTATATGACACAGATTTAATATCTGATTTAAGGTCTAGGTCAATTGCACATTGTAGAAAGATGAATAGCTCTTGATTGGAACTTATAACATTCTCAACTTACTACAAGAAGGGTTTTATGCAAATTAGATTGACCAAAACACTATCAATACATTTATAGAAGGTGAATGCTCCCTTAAAGTAAAATCTTTCCAACCCATAATTTTTATATTGAAAAGGATTTAGAATCACTTAAATTGATGAATATTAATTAAATAATAATTTTTCAATTATTAATAAATTAATCTTGACAAATTGCTTCTGATGGTTAGGCATAAATTGTATTATAGAAATTGGATACATATTTAAATATAGAATGAGAACGCTCCTAAATTGGATTATCTAATAAAGTATCTCGGATAATATTTCATAAATAATAATTCTAAACTATCTCTGATTATAGAAATCTTTAAAAATCAGAATATTAGTTTAAGGGCATTAGAAGTAATTTTTCAAGATTAACAATTTGTTTTGCATTGAAAATCTAATGTTACAATTCAATAAATTTACAATTCGAGGGACAATTAGACTTTTGGTGTTCGAATAAATTCTAATAAGTTGTGATTTGGACAATTTAATTGCGAAACGACTAAGAGTTTGTAAAATAGAAATAGGGAAATTAGCTCAAAGGAGAGTCTAATTATGGAATAATTAATTTGAATGAGGTAATTATTGGAATGTAATGAGAATAAGCATTAGATGGTTATTCCTGGAGTCTTTATCTTAAAGTAGTTTAAAGAATTTTTTCTTTAGAGCATTAGGACTTTGAAAATAACTTTATTTAATAGTCTCCTTTTCAAATCATCTCGTATTAAGTTGTGATGATGGATGTGTTACTTTTTCATACATTTTCATTCTACAACTTGTGGTTGTAGATTAATCTTGTACTAAACTAAATTAAAAAGCCTATAATTAGTTCATGCAGATTAATGTAAATTTTTATTAAATGAAAGAACATTTTGATTTTTAAATTTTTATTTTATTAAATTATTGAGTTTATTTTGCTTTTCCTATTCTTCAAGAATTTTGAAATTCTT